GGAATTCTGTACACAATAAACCACTCCTTCTGGTGACTCTTGCCTTTTACCATCAACTTAGGGATTTCGACCTGATGATTGCAGTGATCTAGGCACAACCACGGCTTAGACTCCTTCAGAGTCAGAGGTTGTTCATGTCATTAAAACACGTTTGAGCAGTGCCATAAATGCTCAGTTGTTACTGATGTTAAGTAATGTTTCTTGCCCCTACTGAGTTCCACTTCCCGATTACGCTACAGGCTGAGACAGGAGCAGTCATTTCCCTTCCAGGGACGTGGGTGTTCCGATGAGAGAACGATAGATTTGCAATGCTGTGATGGCTTTGTAGATCATGGTCCGGCTACCTGTCCAAATCGGACAGTCCTAGAATTGGCTTTCGACCAACAAATCGTTAAATGATTCGAGGCTGATTAGGCGTCAATAGCTACCTTGAGTATCCATCAGGTCATCGAACCAAATCAGCAAATCACAACATATGCATCGAGTTTTGAGGTCGGAGTCAACTCATCATGATCTCGGTGGTAATAAAAGCCCAACTATGTCTCTCCACGATCAAATTTGGGCGGGGTACCCGAAATAACCGCAAAAATGTCTGGATTGCTTATCAGCATTTCCGGCGGCATCAAAATATCTTTTGACGAATTCTGTCTGCTGAGTGGATACTTCTTCTTCCGGTGGATCGAAAACTTTCTGACCGGCCGAACTCAGACCGTATGTCTTGTTGATCAGCGATCGGCGGAGGTGGCGGTTGAAAGTGGGGTTTCCCAGGGCTCCGTTCTGGGCCCTTTCCTCTTCCTTATCTATATCTCGACGACTGCATAAGCGGATTAGACTGCGAAACCGTAATGTTTGCCGACGATTTAAAACTTCGGAAAGTCATCCACAACGAAGATGATGAAGCAAATCTGCAGGCAAATTTGCACCGACGCGAGCAATGGTCAAACGAGTGGCTCCGGCCATTTAATGTCACCAAATGCAACATTATGCGCTTCGGTAGTACCTATTCTTCGTGTCACCCAAATCGCACGCCGTTGCCAGAGGTAGAGTCCCAGAAGGATCTAGGGGTGTGGATCACACCTTCACTAAAATCATCACTCAACTGCTTGAAGGTGGTCAAATCCACAATGTCCACCTTATGTATCATTAAGTGCGCCTTTGCTAAGTTCGACGACATATGCCTCGGTAAGGTCTTTGGGACGTTTGTATGACCCCAATTGGAGTTTTCCATTTAATCCTGGGAACCTTGGACAGTGCAAGACCGAAAAACCCTGGAAAAAGTACAACGACGCGCGACCAAGTTAGTGCGAGGCCAAGCGTACCTTCCTTTTGAGACACGACTGGCCAATCTTGACTTATTGCTTCTGGATTACAGACAGCTGCGCGGTGACCTAATACAGGCATTTTGCATGCTGCGGGGTCAGGATTGTGGCCTAGCGTCCAACGACTTCTTTGAGCTGGCCACTACCACTAGCTTGCGTGGACACCCTCTCAACCTACGTGTGACTGGGGCAAGATTGGACAAGCCAAAATTCTTCTTCTCTAAGAGGGTAATTCAGGCATGGCATGCTCTGCCCGCGGACATTGTCATGTCCCCATCTGTGATCACGTCTTCTGAATCGAAGCCAGGCACGACAGTAATTCCATGTTTAGAAGAAAATATACTGCTCGCTACTTTTCAGTAACATGTTTGTTTAGAATAACAGCTGAGAATTGTGGTGGGTCCCCGTGTTTCGTCATTTGTTAGGCAGACACGGTAACCAGCGAGGGCGTATGATGGGCGCATCTCCGACACTCGGTGATGTTCT